GTTGACATAGTAGAATGTGCTAGGGGTTTCTTATACTATAATTTGTCTAAAACATAGTCTCTGTCCTTAAGGGACTTGTCATTAAGGTAGGGATATCTGCAAAGTGAACACAGAAGTATGCATAAACACACGTGCACGTGTATGTGCACACACACTCACACATGTACACAAAGTATCAGTCCAAAATAGTGGTATAAGAAGCAAGTTCTTTAGAAGTGTGGAGCAGAGTGCATGGTCCTGACGGTAAAATTCCTTGGGAAAACCTCTTGGAAAAAAATAGGACTAGTCCTGTAAGGAAAGGTAGAATTTAGGTAACAGAGTAGAGGGGACCCAGAAAAGGGAAAGGGCAGAAATTCAAATAGTATGAGGGAAATAAATGCATTAATTTGGAAAAAGGCCTTTATTCAGGACACTGAATAAAGCGAAAACTGGAGTGGAAGAAAAGGGTTAAAATATGGAGTATGGAATATAAATGATAATTTGGCATCTCTTGTTCTCTGCAATTTGTAAGAAGCACCAGACCATATCTATTTCACTCTTCTAATGCTTCAAAAAACATCATCTCCACCAACCTCAGGTATATACTCAAATTCTACTATGTAGAATTTTACTATAATGGAGTTGAATTAAAAGACTAATCAAAAAAAGCATCAGTGTTTTCTCCTGAATCTAATGATATTTAGGTTCTTAGATTCCTCAGGTAAAATGCTGAATTCTTCATCTTCCCTTTTGAACCGGCTTCTTGGGTCCTCTATTTCTCTTTGCAGACTTTTAAAGTGGCTATGAATTTTCCCAATTTTCCTCTTTTCCTAGCATTCAATGGGTTGTCTTTTTCTGGTATTTCTTTTCACAGCACTTCTTACATGGATTCTTTGCTCTCCACTCCTAGTCTTGTACTTGCGTTAGATATTACATACTGCCAGAATTAATTTTCTGCTTCCAGTCTCTCCCAATTTCAGAATATCCTCCTATACATGAGTTTCATTAAGTCATGGTTAATTCAGTACACTTTTAGATTACTCTTCCTAATGTATAGCTCTGATCATGTCAAACTCAAGTTGATAACAGTAACAAGCTGTATATTGACTGAAACAAACACCATAGCTTGATATTTAAGTCACTCAGCAGTCTGGTCCCACTTCCTATATTCTAAATTCTATATTCCCTTATATATTCTAAATTCCCGTCAAAACTAATACTCAATGTTTTCAAGATACACATGATAAGTCCCTGATTCTGGGTTGGTGTTGTTCTATTTGAGTTGTTCATTGCTTAAAACTTCAGATAACATTTTCTTATCTCAAGAATCCTTTAACCCACTGATTCAGTAATGTGCTACCTATGGTAAGTCCTTGTGTCATATTGTTTCACTTTTTATTTTTAGAGACAGATAGAGTCTCACTCTGTGGTGCAGGCTGGAGTTCCATGGCATGATCAGAGCTCACTGTAACCTCGAACTCCCTAGGCTCAAGCTATCCTCCTGACTGAGCCTCCTGAGTAGCTACGACTATATATAGGCACACACCACACCCAACTAATTTTTCAAATCATTTTTGTAGATACAGGGTCTCACTATGTTGTCCAGGCTGGTCTTGAACTCCTGGCCTCAAGCAATCCTCCCACCCTGCCCTCCCAAAATGCTGGGATTACTGGCATAAGCCACTGTGCCCGGTCTCATGTTGTTTCAGTTTTATGGATCTGCTTACTTTATGAAGTATAAGAGGAGAATGAAGGAGAAGAAAACGGATTGTCAATGAAACTAACCACAAACTTACAGAGTGCCTTGAAACAAGTATTAAAATGCAAAATACAAAAATATTTTCATATTGTTTATAGACTCATTTTTAGTAACAGTGAGGTATTACAAGAAGTAATATAAATTGCTACCTATTTACACAGCACTATGGGAGACACAAGGAGCAATTATTATGTTCCAGGCACTCATTTCATTTGCAATAATCTTATGAAGTAAGAAGCATTATATTATTACTTACCTCATTTTCAGCTGAGAAAGCTGAGGAAAGAAATGTTAAGTAACTTGCTCAATCCCACTTGGCTATTAACTATAGAATCTGGAATTGGAACCCTGACAATCTGGCATTACAACCTATGCTCTGATACCACTGGGCCCTACTTCCTCTTGTTTACAATTGCATCAGCATAACTGCCCCCCTCTAAAACAACAAGTAACGTGACTTCATTTCAGGAGATATAACTACGCTATGTAAATGTCTTATAAAAATTATTTCACTTCTGTTTAATTTCCAAAGTATTTTGAAATGCATTCAATTATATACAACCAAATTTTGATTGAGAGAATTAGATCAATATTTCTACCTTTGCCTAATAAAATACATAACATGGTTTAAGTACAAGCATCTTAAAACTTTATGAAGGTGAAGATAGAGAATACTGAAATATTCCATAAATATTTGACATCTGTTATGCAAAAACTAATGACAGCAGCGGAGACAGATTTAAGAATGAATATTGACTCAATATTTTGCAAGATAATTCAAATTTTGATTATAATTGATACAATTTAGAAAAAGGGAAAATTTACACTCCTTTTAATTTTTATTTTTTCTGAAATCTATTTTCAACAAGCCAAGACAAATTTTCCTTTTATCTATGGAAAATAAACCATAAGTATTTTTCACATGCACTAATTCATATAAGCATAAAATGTGTTATATATTAACTATGAACATTTTAACTTTATAAAGACGTAGCAGCAATATACTGGACATTATATGTATAATTTTTAGATGTTATCTAATACACAGTAATATTTCTCTGAAATATTTCATTAACTTTAATAATAAAATGAAAAGTCTGAAGTGGCAATTGCCAAATGAAAAACAAAACCCATCTAACAATGCTACAATTTAGCCCAATTACTATTTCAGGTTCTAAAATATAATGTTTAATAAACTATTTCATTAATCATTTTTTTATTTTAATATTTTTAGCACCAGACGATTACATTTAAAAAATAAGTCTTTACATATCCTCTATAGGTAGTTTATAACAACCACTATATACTGCCTATGAGCACAGGGAGTTGCACCAACAGCTTAAACACTTTTATTAGGAACGCCTTTTATTTCTCTGAAATAGGTCTTTTTAAAGCGGAAAACAGGATCTAACTCTTGTTTGCTCTTTAAAGTTTTATTGTTTTAGCATTTTATACAGGGAGTGAGCATTAGCATACTCAGGAGAACTGCTGAAAGTAAAAGGCCGCAAGCTACCCACTGCATGGCTGATAGGATAAAGTGGGGATATAAAAACTTTTGTCTGATTGCTCACTTTCCTTGTTTTAGAGTACTGCTACTCTCAAGAGCATATATTCATGTTCTTTCTACTTTGAGTTTTATTACTTCTTTTGTATTATTTAATACATCTAAAGACACTTCCAAAAGACAAATTTTTCCATTTTGAAGAAGTAATGGTTTGGAACCTGATAAAACACATTAATGTTCACAGTGTGTTTTTTGCAAAGGTGATAGAGTAAAAGTGCTATGAAGCAATTAGGCATATGATCTTAAAGACATTAATATGTCAAACAGAATAAAATGTTTAAAAAGACAACAAATATAATACCCTGTGAAAGGTCAAGTGAAAATGGGTACATATGAAGAGCATATTTCTCTTTCAGACCTTTTACTAGATATTGAATGGAAGAATAAAGGAAGACAATATAAAAAAGAGAGAAAGGACTAATCTTATCTCAATAACTTGTAATTAGAAGTATGTGACGTTTAATTCTAGGAAGTACAGACATAAGTTACAACTCATCCTGACAGCTAAATGGTGCACACCCTTCATTATTCAGATTCAAATTTTTTTTCCTCTGAATTCTCAGTTCTACCAGGGTCAATACATTTTAGTAAACAAGACACTAATATGCTTGACACTACTGAATAAAGCCAGGCATTTTTTAAAGTGTCATACACATTTCTGAAATCCACAATACATCAATTTTTAATACTTCTACTCTCTCAGCTCCATTAAAAAGATGGTAGGGGAAAGATTTTAGAGTAATTAATGATATAGTTAGCTGCTAAATATTAATAGGAATCATAGTCTTGCATAAAATATAACATATAAACCTTGCCAATACAGACGCACCAGTAATTAAAGTTGAATATATAATTACACTGATTTATAAGAGAGGCAAAAAGTTACACTTTACTAGCTTCTATGTAAACTGTGGGTAACAGTTAAACTTTCCATTTTACGGTTTATAAAAATGGGCAATATCTTGACTACAGTTCATAAATAGTTTAGAGACCTGTAATAGTAGTAAAAATTATAACAACTTATTCCATCATGAATATTCTTATTGCACCATACAAACCAAACTGTGATAACGACCCATAAAATGTAGATTCATCTTAGACACTGCTTTACGCCCAAGAGAACGTTAGTAGTACTAAGAATCTATAGAGGAGGCCGGGCGCGGTGGCTCAAGTCCGTAATCCCAGCACTTTGGGAGGCCGAGTTGGGCGGATCACGAGGTCAGGAGATCGAGACCATCCTGGCTAACCCGGTGAAACCCCGTCTCTTCTAAAAAATACAAAAAACTAGCCAGGCGAGGTGGCGGGCGCCTGTAGTCCCAGCTACTCGGGAGGCTGAGGCAGGAGAATGGCGTAAACCCGGGAGGTGGAGCTTGCAGTGAGCTGAGATCCGGCCACTGCACTCCAGCCTGGGCGACAGAGCGAGACTCCATCTCAAAAAAAAAAAAAAGAAAAAAAAAAAAAAAAAAGATTCTGTAGAGGACTGCTGGAACAATAATTATAGGGTATTTGAGATAATCTAAAAAAGTATTAAAACCGATTTTGATCAACTTTGTCATATTATGAACATGGTATAATTTAACTCCACTTAAATTTGTATTTTTAACTGATACAACAGTAAAAACTTCAGAAAAAATACTAAATTTAAGAAGCATATTAATATAGATTCTTCCCTTTAGAGAGTCTGTTAACCACACTTAC